TGGGGCCGCGGGCGGCGGCGCCGGCTTCTGTCCGCCGACCGGCCGGCGTCGGCCCGCGTGACGAATGGCCGGCAGAAGCGCAACGGCAGCAGCAACAGCAGCAGCGGAGGCAGTGCAGTAGAAGAAGCAGTAACCGCAGCTGTAGCAGCAGCGACACAGTTGCTGCGCAGCATTTTGCTTTTTGGTTTGTTTCAACTTATATCCAACGATTGGTGAATTTTGAGTTGTTGCATGTCTATAGGTATAGGGTAGCCTGGGGCAAGACGCCCCAGATAATTTATTTTGCTACATAACTTTTGTCCCACATCACCTGAAAGGCCAAATTTGTGCTCAATGCGTTCTTTGGACATTTTACTTTAAATTCCACCCCTCAAATTCATTCACTTATGATCGGACTCCCAGCTAGGAAGTGATTTGTGAAGCAACTGCAAATAGGGCGTTTTGCCCCAACCCCAGGGCAAAACGCCCCACGGCCTGGGGCAAGAAGCCCCATACTCTAGATTAAAGATTAAACATGCTAGTTGACTAAATCTTATATGAGAGGTCCGTTAGACCTTGGGAGGCACGGCACTGAAGTTAGCACCTTCCATCCTATCAGGTGTTTAGCTACGACACTATTGTATGAGCAGGTTTTTCACCTGCCTCACAAGGCCAAATAATAAATTATTACAATGCAAATGTTAGCAAAATACTTCCTTTGCCATCCAGTTGCTGAGAAAAGTACATATAAATGCATAGAAACATCCCGTTCGCCAGCTACCGAACATTAGGAAGTGGGTAGTCCGAACAACACATGAGGTAAAACGCCCCATGGGGCTTTTTGCCCCGCGACCTACTGGGGCGTTTTACCCCATCACGTAGTTCGGTCAGAGAACAACGCCTTACACTCCAGGAAGACATAATCTAACACGAACCAACCCGGCATTATAAGCGTTACACAATAGTTGTTCAAAATACATAAAAGTCGTTAACCTGATGTGGACGATAAAAGAACGCCATGATGCATAATCTGACAACAAAACATAAAAATCACTCCAAAAACACATTTTCGGCTATATCTCCCTAAAGAGTCATCACAATTTCTTTCCAGTCTGCTCATATAATGATCGTATAGTGCACGTTTTATAGAAGAGAGGATGTTTCCCCAGAACCTTGCCAGTTCCGAGAAACATCGGTGAGGCGTTTTACCTCGGCGGGGCCACTTGCCCCGGTCTACCCTACCTCAGCTACAGACACGGTGATTGGCTAACTCTCTACCACAATATCACATTTACACTTTGCATCGATTACGTTGTCTATCCAAGTCAATGAAAGCCATTGTCCGAAAAGTCGCTCCGCTGTCTCGTTCGTCTAACAAAAACCACCACACATGAGCGCGGGCACTGCGCTTCGCTGGTCACGACTGCTGCGTCGAATGGTAGCCTCATACGAGCGGGGACTTTGCGCTGCAGTCGTCCCGCGTTACCTCACCGGGGCCGGGCTGAGCAATCGTCAGTAACTGGAAGCGACAGGTCATCTGAGGGAGGGTTCCCGGGAGGGACACTGCCGGTGGCGAGCGAGTGTACGGTGCCATTTGGAGGCGCCGCTCGCGAGGCGTTTTGACAGCGCGGCTTAATTGTTTGTGGATGTTGGCAAATTATTATCCCGTAGACGTCTGGATATGGCCGAATGAACCGTACGTCACCTTTACCTATTGGCAGTATCAGCATCATGCTGACAATATGTTTTAAGCGGACTTTGCTGGCCCGGAAATTCAAGGACCTCGGAGTTGTAATAAGAATACAATATTGCGTAGGTACTAGGTAGGTAGGTATTGCGTATTGCGTAGGTAATCGAACCAATTATAAGTCGAAATGATAATTAGTTTAAACTGCTTTATTTTGATGCGGTTTCACGTATTTTCTTTTTACACACATTGCTTTGAACAGTTCCTCAGGCAAAGTTATACGTTGCGACTGGCGACGGTTCCTCCATGGACGGTGTCCCACCTTGCGATGCACGCTACCCCTCGGTCATACTGGTACCAATAGTTCTTCCAGCGACCACCAGGTGGCAGGCAGGTTACCTCCAAGCCACGGCGCCACCGACTGCAGACCTGCCTCCGTTTTGGTGTGGTCAGCAGCTGTGACCATAGGCGGCGGAACGGGGGGGGCACCGGGGCACCGTGCCCCCCTTGCATTCTGCAAGGGGGGCACCAATAGCAAGGTGCCCCCCTTAAATTTGATGTAGTACCAGGGGCGGATTCGGGAAAACTCCAAGGGGAGGGTCATGAATCGAAGTGGTGCCCCTACCTATGCCCAAAATTAAAACCTCAACGGATTTCGGTCACTTAATTTTGGTGGTGCCCTATTTTCAGTTTTTTCTTTATTTTTGGTTAGTCATGTGATGACTGGTGCCCCTGCTAGGCCGCTGGTGCCCCTGGAAAGACTGTGGTACCTACCTACCCTGCCCCCTGACAAGCCTACGGTGGGCCCTGACATGACTTAGGTGCCCATGGGCCCTGACAGGCCCGTGGTGCCCCTGACAGGCCTGTGGTGTCCTTGCTAGGCCTGTGGTGTCCCTGGGCCTTGGCAGGTTTGTGGTGCCCCTGTTAGAACGCAGGTGCCCTTGACAGGTTTGTGGTGCCTCTGACAATCCTTAATTGCCAACGACAGGCTTGTGGTGCCCTTGACAGGCCCATGGTGCCCTTGCGAGGCCGGTGGTTCCCCTGCGAAGCCGATAGTGTCCCTGACAGGCCTCTGGTGCCCCTGGCAGGTCTGTGGTGCCCCTGGAAGACCTGTAGTGCTTTTTCTGGGCCGATGGTGCTCCTGACAGGCCTGTGGTGCCACTGAGAGGCCCGTGGTGCCCCGGCTAGGCCTTTGGCACCCCTGGCGGGCCTGTGGTGCCCCTGTCGGCTGTCAGGCCTGTGTTGCTCCTGGCAGGCATGTGGTGACCCCAGGCCCTAAGTCATGACCCATGTTACCTCCACCCTGGGATTCGCCACTGATTAGTACTGCGATGGCTTCTTGGGAATTATACATGTAGGATAAATGGAATTTATCAAACGACAATAAGGAAGAGACAAACACATTGGTACTTGAGGATCAGCTTACAGTTAACCACACATACGGGCAGGGGTGTAATTTTCCTAAAATGATTGTGGGTGCCCAGCTGTAGGGGCGCCCGGCGCCAGGCCGTTTTGGGGCGCGATAGATATTCTTTATGTAGGAGCCTAAATTAACACCGAATTTGATAACATTGCTAGCCGAATGGCGCTTCAAGTGACGTGTCTGACTAAGCAAATACACGCTTAAAAGTGGAAACTGACCGGAAGGACGTAAAAAATATGTAGAGAGGCGCCATCCAGTAGGAGGGGCACCAAATGTGGAGGCGCCAGACGGTTACGACTTACAAGGGCGCCGTGAGACGATGAAAAGGGCGCCATTCTCTTAGGAGGGCGCCGAGTGATTGAAAACGCTATGTGGTCCAGGGGCGCTAAGAGGCCAGAAGGGCGCCGCACAGTCAGTAGTGCTACGTTGGTGGGGACGTGGGGGCGCCAGATGGTTACTAGGGCGCCTTGAGATCATGAAAAGGGCGCCATTCTCGTAAAAGGGTGCCGAGTGATTGAAAACGCTATATGTGGTTCAGGGGCGCTGAGAGGCCAGAAGGGCGCCGTTAGACCATGAGAATGGCGCGGTGCTGTCAAAAGTGCGCCATTCTCCCAGAAGGGCGCCGAGTGATTAAAAACGCTATAATCCATGAACGCGAGACGGTCAGGAGGACGCCGTTAGAGCATGCGAAGGGCACCGTGCTCTCGAAAGGACGCTTGCAGCCTTGTAAAAAACTTGTGGGTGCTTTTTCATCATTGTGGGGGCATAATTCAGGATTGTGGGTGCATATGCCCCCACAAAGAGATATAAAATTACACCCCTGCATACGGGGGTGAACTGCCATTTTCGTTTAGTAAAAAAAAAAATAAAAAAAAAAATAAAAAATCATCGTGTCAGGGCTGTGACGAAAAATAAGTGGCCTAAATCCGATGAGAAAACAGGATTTGGGGGTACCCTAGGTTTGGCTCCTTGAGCCATGGTGCCCCCCTTGTCTCAAATCGTTCCGCCGCCTATGGCTGTGACTTGTTCCTCGGTAGTCGCTGCGGACATTGTTAAGCACTTTATATGTTTTGTAATATTTGGATCTATTTTTATATTGCTTTATGTTAAATATCTTGTAACTTAAACTGTTCGTCCTCCCGGCTTCCGTCCCACGAGCAACTCCAGCTGGGGATGTATGAGAAACTGCCACACTCTGTGCATTTCTTTTTTCGTATGTCATGGAAGTCATGTTTGAAATGGGGTCGTGTTCCGTCTCAATGGTTACATTAACATGACCTCAATCAAGAGAGAGGTCAGGGGCTGGCCAACGCCATGGTCAATTCATTGGTCGATGCCAGTGGTGACCGTCTATTTAATTTTTGTGCTATTTAACTTCTGTATGTCGCCCGCATTTGATTATTTGTCCGAGGACTGAGGCAGGTGCTGATTGGCTTAGAGGAGGTAGAAAGGTAGGATGGTTGGCCCCCAACGGTCTTGTGAAAAGTAAACATGAATCAGCAGGCAGCGGCACCCTTTACGGCTACTTCATCCACATCTTCAGCTATGAAGCATATTGCAACGTCTTATCAGAGCAAAGCATGACCCGATTCGCCCTCCAGACTATCTTCCACCGGCTCATTATCTGGGCTGCGATCGTCGCCGCGGGCGGAGCACCATTTGCACTGGTCGCCGGGTGAGTTATTCGTTCCCGGCGAGTTCTCGATACGGGCGTTATTGCTGGCGATGGTGGGGATCAAACGACCATCTCTGCGCGCTCTGAGAGCTCCTTATGGCGCAGGCTGAGCGCTGTGGACGGTCGCTGCTCGGTCGGGGAGCTCTCAGCTATAGGGGAAGGGGAGGGGATTCACTCCGCTGGGCGCCGCGCGCCGTACGGCGGGCGACGGGCGCCCACTCCGGCGTCGGTAGCGACGACCGTCGGCTGCGACACGCCGCGCCGGCCGTCGGGCGTCAGAAGGCAGTCTGTTTGCGAGCTGTGCTGGGCGGAGTGGCAGTGCTGGGTAGGTGGTGAGCTGAGCTGACAGAGCTGGTGCGTGACTGTGGGGCGTGGACATTCGGTAAATGGCAAAATTTACGGGGCTACGGGGCTTTGCCGTGTGCTGTTTTACGCCATGACTGTGTTGCTGAGTGGGGCATCACATGGAATATCTTGCGTTCTGTGGACTGTGCTGCTCTCTCTTTTGAGTCTTATGATCTCCCCGCAAGGAAACTGTACCTACTGGGTCGGTTGTGGTCTGATATTGTCCCGCAAAAGCTGCAGGCGTGTTGGTGGACGTGCCAGAAAATTTACCGATTGTAAACGGTTTCTAGGGGACCGATAGACTAGAACATAAAGATTGCGTCTTATTGTACCTAGCTGTAGACATTTTAATGTTTTGTAGAGGGCGTTTTTAACCTGAGCTTTTGGATCGGTGATATGAAAACCAAACCAGAATCATTTCTTACATGACTCTGAGTCACTGCAGAGCTTTTGAAATATTTGGCTTGCTTCATCGTAGCCTGTTTGTAGGCATAGCTATTTAAAACGAATAATACGTTGGCTTCCATGTATGTATGTATATAGCTGTCATGACACATCTGTATGTAAGGAATGTTGAACATGCAGTATTCATTGCATGTGAAGTTTGCGAAATGTTAAGGTTTTTAAGACAATTGACCTCATTTACGACACTGACTCGATAAGCCATGTAGAATCATAAACCAAAAATTAAGAAGCAACCATTTTAAATTGATATCGGTTAATATTTTTATTAATACTTTCCCTTTTACTACGGATAGAGGCTCTTTCTTACCCTCGAGAAAGCTGTGCGATGAAAAATGCCTGAGCTGAAGGGCGCGAGTTAACACGGCGGATCCTTTCAATATGAGGGAGCTGGCAGCCTGGGATCTAATCCGCGCCTCATCCCATCTAATGCCACCTTGATACCGGCGCCATTTAATTTCATCTGGCTTCAGCGGGTCAGAGCACACGGGGCGGTGCGACGGGATCGACAGAGAGGTGGCCTTCGTCGGGGGTGCAGGAATGTGGGATGGGACAGACGATGGTCTCTGGGCTCTCATGGGTTCAGGATGGGGCATTGGACACACATCCTCTGACCTTTGAAGAGTACCACCAGGTTATGGCATGGGAAAGATTCCCTTATGATTGCTCCGTTCGGGAAAGGGAATAGGACGGGCCAAAAATTTAGCGCATCACCGCTTTCAGCAGGCCTTCCGCCCCCGCCCCTGACCTGCTGGCCGTCCTATGGGCTGCGCACCCCGCCACGGCCGAAGGGGAACGCACCCCTGACCCGGTGGCCATTCTGTGGCTGGCTACAGCTGTGCGCCGCACCACGGCCGTCCAACACTGCACAGCTGCGGCGGAACGGCAAACGTGCGCCGGGTACGGCTCAGGACGGGAGCTGGGCTCACCCGCACACGGCACTATGCACAGCTGTGGAATAAAATGGCAAGGGAGCCCCGCTAAGCCGTGCATTGTGTTTTATACGCATCGCCTGGGGCCCGCTTGGTCCACTAATAGCCGCCAACCGACCGTCATGCGCCGATTTCCGACCCCAACCTGCCGCATATGGCATCACTAATTCAGTGCGTCGATCCGTGCAGGGCAGCGGTGTCGGTCCACCCCTTCTGAAGTTCTGACAGCCATCAATTTGGGGTGGCCGGTGGGGACTTACGCTGACGGTTCGAATAAGTTTGTGAGGGATTTGTGTTCTGGTTTTTAGAGCTGGAAATATGCTTTCATGCTTTATGCTTTAAATATAAATAAAATGAAATATGCTTAAATAGCATTTCATTAACAAATAAAAATATTTTGTCCCTGCTGACTGATCCTTGCGTTACCCTGGATGTCCAGGAACAATTTGTCATCCACATCAACGCGCTTTTGCTGTGTAATAGACGTTGAACCGTGTTTCGTTCCCATGATTGAGCTTTGTGCATCTGACGCCAGGCCGTGACGCTCTCCACTGCAACTGGAGAGGCCTCCGGGACACACCAATCATCATCTCGGAGCCGCCGCTGACAGCTGTATTAGCGGCCGGCGCCATCACCAGGGGTCATCGGTCGGTGGTGACCGTCCCGACCGGGCATTGGTCGGCGGTGACCGATCCGGTCAGCGGTGGCACTCGAACAGTGGACGCTCCGACACAGACCCCAACTATGGTCGGCGTGACGACTCGTCACCCAAATGCGAGCTTTGTGTAATGTCAGTGCGCAATCAGGGGAGTAGTGAGCTGTAGCAAAGACAACCAATTTGACACCACTGTTCCTATGGAAGCCCGTCGACAGCCAGAGCTTTCTTCTGCCACAGAAGACGCGTTCTTCACGTTGCGAAGTTCATCTGCTGGCCGTTGGTCATGCCGAAGAGCCTGCACAGGGCGGTGCCGCCGAAGGGCGCGGGCTTGGCCAGGGTCGGCTGGTGCGCTCCCGGGTCTGCTGAAGCGGCCGTGACCTCTCGGTCCTCCAGTGATGGTTGGCACCAGGCGCGGTGGCACCGACTCCAGCAGGCACGTCTCTGGGGCTACCCGCCGGCGACAGGCGATACAGGCGGCATGCGCGGAGGCGACAGCTCAGGCGGAGACGGTGGCGCTGGCGGAGGCGGCAGCGGGCCGGGCGGAGCGCGAGCTGCGCAGGGAGAACGCCCGGCTACACCGGCAGCTGACGGCGGTCCGAGGACAGTACCGGCGGCTGGAGGGCTTCGTCAGCGAGCTGGAGCAGCTGGCCGTGGCCGCAGACGGAGTGCACAAAGGCAGGGACAGCGGCCCGGGGCGGAAAATATCAGTGGGAGATGGAGGGAAGTGCAGATCGGCGACGGCATCTGGTGAAGTCAAAGGGATCTCGTCAAGAAACCACTCGACTACAGTCCTCGAAAACCACATTACTTTTGCAGAGCTTAATCAGAATCAGGACCCAATCCTGTTCAGAGGACTGAAAAAGCAGTCAGTTTTGGCTGGCTCACTCTCAGATCATCAGTCCAGTATAGAGCTGTCTGCGCCGCCAATCTCTTCCGAGCCCTGGCCACATTTCAGCCAGCCCAGTCTGGAGCAGCTACAAGAAATGGTGCAGCTCATTCAGTCAGACCGAGACGCTGCCGCCGCTGCCGCCCTGCAGCCGCCTGCTCCGTCCCCGCTGCTCTGTCGGACAGTACCGCCCGAGTTTTACGCCGAGCGAAGCCTGGTCCGCTACCGTCGGCCGCCGGTCCTGGTGCGCTTACAGCCCGTCCAACAGCACCAGGTCAGCTTCAACACCAGTGGACAAGTAGCTCTGCGTGCGCTGACCGCTGTCCAGGTGGCTGACGAGCTGCACCGCCAGCTGCCGCCGCCGCTGGTGCAGCAGCTGACCGGGGTACGCGTGCTGACAGACGCGGTGTACATCAGCACGGCGACGGCGGACCAGGTGGCCGCACTGCTGCGCTGTCGGCTGACGGTGCGCGGTCTGCCTGTGACACTCCGCGACGAGAGTGACGCAGCGCACGTCCTGCTGCTAACTGGTGTGCCTCACTATGTTGGCGACGCTGGCGTGCTGGCGGTGGCGGCAGCGTTCGGCACCCCGCGCGGTCTGCCCGAGAGACGCATCTACCGCGGGGTGGCCACCGGCGAGCGACTGGTGCGGCTGAGACTGAACGACGACACCTCCAACCGCCTGCCGCCCGGCCTGACGCTCGCCGGGCTGCGACTGACGTTGCGCCTGCTGCCCATCGACCAGCTGGATAGCCTGCCTTTGGACGCGTCTGAGGCGCCGCCGACAGTCCGACCACCGGACGGTCTGCCCCGATCGCCTCCGCCGCGCTACAGCCAGGCAGTCTGTGATGGGCCGGGTAGAGGTCCTGGAGCCCCCAGTGAGGAGACTCTGGTGAAGAGAGTGATAGAGAGTGTCCCCCGCACGCCGTCGGCCGACCAGCCACGCTGGGCTGAGCGGCCGGCAGCAACGGCACCCACCAGGGAACGAGCCCCTCACCAGGCCGGGTACCCTGTGTGGCCCCTGCCGGAGGTAGACCACCTTGCGTCGTCACTCGGCGTCCTGCTGCTGGCGCGACCTCAGACCAACGGGAGCCTCGTGTACCAGTCGCCGGACGGCAGGGATGCCGCACGAGCCGGGCGCAGGGAGACAGCCGAGTGGACTGTTCGCGCCGCCAGCCCGGGGCCATCAGCTCGGCTGGAGCGACGGCCCCGTCCGGGTCTCCGCGAGCTCGACATGTCTCTGGAGCAGCTCAGTAGCGTAAGCAGCGGGCGCAGCGACGCTGGAGAGACGGATGACTCGGTGTCTCCGCAGGACGGCTCCGAGCTGCCCTGGTGCGGCTGCTGGGGTAACGGCTGCTTCTGAACGCTTCCCAGGTGACCAGAGAACATTTCACTCAGAGCGCGTCGGCCTGGGGCCCAGTGTGGGCGCCGTCTCTCTTCGAAAGGCTACAGACCGGGGCCTGTGAGCCACCACATGAGGCTAATGTGAATCTGGGAACTGCACGTGCAGGGGCTGCACGTGTACCTTTGGCACGTGCAGGAGCGGGACCCATGCGAGCTAGTCGCGGCAGCGTACCAGAGCCTGTGAAAGGCCGAGTGCCGACCGGGCTGTGATCTGTGAGCTGCCCGAGTCCGTCAGGTCCGGCGACTTTGTCACAATTTAAATCACACAACACATGAACGAGTACTGTGCTTCCAGGAGAACGGACATGGCTAAAAAGGGTAATTTTCCTTGGAATGCGATGTAATATGTAAATTGGTCTACTTTGAATCGCATCTCATGTAACAAATATCAAGACATTCCATACGTACCTAAGCTATACCTATAAGTGTACATTTATAAATGCTTAGATACTTCACATTAGTTTTATGATAATGTGAATTGAGATGTAGTGATAGTCAGCCGTCAGGTGCAGCTCTTCTAACTGACTATGTCTTACACTGCAACGCTAGCGAAACATGCCTCCAAACACAAAAGTGTTCGGTGTGTTGATCTATATCAGATATATGCTGTATTGTGATGTTGCGCTATGGCCGCGGTGCTTATTTTTTTCTTGTGTGATTGCTCTCGATAGCGAGCAACTGCATTGCTTGCCATTATGGTAAGATTGTTTCTAGGAGCTCGCGAGTATAAAAACAACAGCGAGTATAAAAAGCTTCGTAGACGTAATCCGAATACATATGCTATTTTACCGCAGTGTCTTCATACATCGTGCCCCGGTTTCCAGCCGGGCAAACGCAGTTCTAGGTTGGACCGGCTCCGTCCGACGCTCGAGCCGTGCCGGTCCCGAATGGAAAGTGGCCGAGCGGTGGCGGCGCCGCTCGCTGCTCGGTTATAAACAAGCTAGTCTCTGGGCTCTTGATGCAAATAGGAGGGTCGACGCTGCGGTCCGATGGGGCGTGGCGAGTGAGAGGTCTGCGTATGAGGCACGGCCGCTGGCTTCCATCCCCCCACCACGCCCACTCCAAGGGTCCTCCTAGGGAGCTGACAACTAGCGGTTCCGCCAACCCACTGAGATCGGGTGGGACTGTCTCAGGCAGTTCGGTTAGCGAGCATCGAGAAGAGAATGCTTTTTTTTTTGTCAACGTAGATTACGTATAAAAATGAAAAATCGCTAAATAAAAAGACAGAGAACCTATAGTACGGTATGGCTCGAAAGAATGAATGCCGTTTTGGACAAAGAGATTGTATCGGCGGTTTTTGGGCGAACAGCTACTCTGTTGTCGAGCTCTGGACGGTCGTTGGACAAAAAGTGTCTGAAATAGGCGAGGCTGGTGCTAGCTCAGCGTCCGATGCGTGCCAAGTGGGATCAGAAATGGCCAGTGGTTGGCGATTTCTGTCATATCTCGAACCAAACGCCTCACAATTTGTCTCGGCTCCAGCGCCGTGACGGTGCCATCGCCTTCGATCATTCTTCGAATTAATCTAGATTAATGCTCACTATTTGTAACGGCATTTCCGTTCCGTTCCGTTACCACAGCAGCGGAGATACCGTTCCAGCTGCCAACTGCCAGTTGCCAGCCGCTCGGTCAGTTGGGTAGCTGGGGAGAGTGAGCCGCGGCAGGGTGGCGCCACGACAGAGCAACCGCCACGCCGCCTCTGTAATCCGATTCTGGGACGCTCGGTCTACTCTGCGGGGACGTCGGCCACAGTGGCCCAGCACGCGGTGCCAGCCTGTCGATACTGGTAGTGGAGCGCCGCCCACGCCCCTCCCTCTCCCCCGCCTCCCCCGCCTCCCCCAACCATCCCAGCCATGTAATTGGACCGTCGAGTAATGGTGCCGCACTGTGACGACGGGCGCCTGTATTACCTACACCCCCACCATACGAGTATAATATCACTACACAAAGGAAACTGCAAACGAAAACGAGAGCAGAAGCTAAAACAATCTGCAGTTTGGAACATCGTCTCTGTGCTCGAAATGGGTTCAGTCAAGGCCGGTTCAGTGGAGTACAAGGCAAATGAAGAGTCGCAGTTTTTAGGTACCTACTCTTGGGCACTTTGCACTTCATCGTCCTTTCCGGCGTTTTTTTTTTTCATAATTCTCATTGGAGTGTTCGAGCGGCTGAGACAGTGCAGTCTGCTCCGTTTGGTACATCCCACATCTGTTATTACTAGGATAAGGGCGGCTCAGCCCTCTGCGAGTGCGGACCACCAATTCTCCTCAGTCGGTAATCGACTTATTTGGTACTGAAACAATCTCACAAGGCAGGAAATGTCTAGCCCAATATTAAACGAAACAAAACCAAAAACGAATGATCAGCAACATTGTTCGGGTGTGGGCTTTCGCTGCTTTAGTTATGAGCCAGCTCTGGGGCCTTATAACTTCTCTATACGCCCTTCCGTATCAGGGCCACTTTTCTACCAGCCTGACCCCTTGGGTGGGGCCGAGGGTGCGGTGGTAAGGCCGTTACTCCGCCGTCAGCCGTCCCATCCATCAGCTGGCGGCGCGACACTGTCACAGCGCTCCCCGCGCGCCCCTGATGGATCCTCCGCGCAGATGAATCCGCCGCCAGAACAAAAAGCCCTCCGTCCAGAAAGGCGGACTTTTTGTTGCATTTTCAGATACGAAATTCATGCCTTTATCCTGCCGAGCTCGACACGGCAGGTCCTGAACGGCACCCAAGCCGCAAAATGGGGGCAGCTTAGCTATCGGTATACTTAAGCTTAGGTAGGTATAAGCCGTTTTCACGACATCCATCTGGTAAGTGGTAGGTACACATTTGGTGCGGAGGTGCAGATTTGGTCAAATGAGGTTCAAGGTTTTTCTGAAAAGTTGTCAGTTTGAGTTGCACAGGTCCAGGTGCCTAAATATCTCATTTTTTTCAAATTATCAGACATTATTTTCGGTCAAAATACTGAAATAAATTCATGACACGAAGGTATTAATTCTGAAAGAGATATGGTGCAAATTTGGTCAAATTAGGTGCATTTGTCGAGTCTTGAAAACGGTGCATAGCTTCCATCTGTTCATCGCTATATTTGCCGGAACCACGCTGGTTACCACGTTTGCAGACATGAAATTTAGGAGTTTTTAATCCCCTGTCGCTCTTAAATGGCATTTACTTGTAAAAACGGCCATTCCGCCCATTGCAATGTCTGTTGAGTGTTGACGGTCGACATTGGCCCCGGCCGGTCGCATTACTGGGAGGTGCGTGATTGGGGCGACATCTGTGGAAAGGCGTTGAACTAATCGTTTAGCAGGCTGTTACTGGAGCGCTGGGGTCAGGTTGGAGGTCAGGAAATGGGCCCAACACGACCGTCGAATCGACACAAGCGATGGCTCTCAAAAGGATCGCTGTACCATTGTCCAATGTCCATGTTCTGCCAAATCGGACGGAACAGTTCACCTGCTTGAACATAGGAGGATCTCCTTCTAATTATTTTGGGATATTGGGATATATGGGATATTGAAAAGAAAAAGTTTTCAGTGAGTGTTCCAGCGCTCTGCTTCATGCCAAATTATGGAACGTATGCCGGATATTTACTTTGAAAATTATCCTCTCAATTCTCGTGACAGCTATACGATGGCAGGCTAGGCAGTTCCACTTGGCACATTACACACACACTGTTATCACTGGAATGCCTAAGGCGGATTCAGACCGGCCGCACTCCTAACCACCACGGGTGCCTCTTTCTGCAGCACTTCCAGAGTGGTGTGATCTAGCAGACGTGGGACCACCGTCACGGCGCTATAGGCTTGGCACGCTGCCGACTGCCCGGCTCTGTTCGCTGAATGCGGCAATAAGTACGTGAGGCTGGAGACGGTCAGTTCACTGTTCGCCGAATGCCATGCAATCAGTGACAGTGGCTGGAAAGGCTCAGGAATTAGGCACCGATGGATGCTGGCCACCGCTGGTCAAGTGGTGGAGCTTGTGGTCGCCACCATGGTGAAGAGGCAAAGCTGTGAAGCGGTGACTTTTTACGACCTCTGAGGTCAATAATGGTCCCATAACCGGTAGCCGAGGCTCTACCACTGATGACCAACATGGTGTTGGCTACCCCTGGTGACCAATGCTGTGATGATAAAGCTGTGGTAAAAATAAAGTACAAACCAAGCCCCCTCTGTCCGTTACCAATCACTCAGCCCCCCTCCCCCCCACCCCCGCAGCTGGACGGTACGGAGAGCGTGCGGCTGCGGCGGTGGCCGAGCTTTTTGCGCTCTCCCGTAAATTGTCGGCCGGCGTGGTGCAGGGCGGCGGTGCCTCCCTCCCGCGGGGGCCGTCACTGTTGTTTATCTCGGCTGATTTCCCGATGGTCGTGCCTTCTCTGCGCGGAATCGTAAGCCGATGTCTTTGGTGCCCGGAGGGACCGGAGGTGGCCACAGCGGCGGCTCAGGTGTCGTGGGTCGAATCTCCTACGCACGAAATCGCTTCTTCTCTAACTCTTCCCTTCTCTCGATCACATTTTCGAAAAACTGTTTTCTCCAAACACAGACATAGAAATGCCACACCTCCCTCACAGTCTTCGAGACACACCATTTATCTCAAACCATGTGTTTAATGTCGTTTTATAATAATCATATCTCTTCGCACCCCGTCCGTCAGTCATTCCTCCACCCAGACCCCTCGCCCCCCCCCCCCCCGGTGACCTCCCGCGCGTCAGGACTATGTCAGCGTCTGTTCGACTTCCGTCTCCGTGATGGGACGTTGGACCTAAACAGCCGATAGGCCGCTGCAGGGAGTGGCCTGTGACACTCACCGGAATGTCCGTGTAATCGGACACGGCTGGTCGCACTGCACCCGCGCTGGGCTTGGCACCCCGCTCCAGCCGCCACCCGCCCTGGCGATGGGCATCCTGGTCACGACACGCGCGACACACCCTCCCGACACACTCTGACACCCTGGGTGTCGCTCTGACACCACGGGTGTCAGCCCTCCGGCTGGGGAACTTCAGCGTCCATAACCAGCGGCCAAAGAATCATTTGGCTGCGAATGTGCATGTCTTGGTGAATGTGGCGAACTCTCCACAAATGAGCGATGTGAGTCAGACTGCATTGCAGCCTGGCTGAGCCACGGGCTGGCTCACGAGGAATACTATACGTTGGAAACACCATCAATAGAAACTCAACATCCAGTGCTTGTGTGCTCTCCAGGGAAAGTGTCAGGGTATAAAACACTCCTACTTTATGACAGGTCCACCGGGATAATGTCACTGTGTCCGAGGATGGTCCGTTATATGCCCTGGAGCTTGTCCCAGGGGCTCCCACGAGACCCCAGGCTGCAATCGCCACCCGAGGGCGCAGCCGATGCCGGGTTGTCTGGCTTTCCTCTCCGCTGAGCGGTGACCGTTACTGTTTGGCTCACGGATATGCGATGGCACACATTGCACCTTGAGCTGACCGTGAGCATACCCCATGTTTGGTGCGACTGATGTGTCCAATGCCCATCAATGGGGAGCGACTTGGCCTCACGCTGGAAGATTTATCGGTAACGGACAATTTACGAATGTTGACTGGCGT